CACACTATTTTTAATCATGTCACTGACTTCTTAGGAAAGTCTGTGCTAGTCTGTCAAGTCTTCAGTCCATGTTTAATGTTACATGTCAGGGCTGCCAGTGTTTTTAGTCACTTTTTGTAATATTTGGTGAGATTCTCCTCACATTCAGGTAACTGGCAATAAAAGAGACTCTGGTCTGTAGCATCCTAGACTCGGTAAACAGGAAAAAAAATGTAAATGATATGGACCATCATCATCCAGCCGAGGTGGTCGAAAGGAAGCGTCTCTGTTTACCAGGCAATCATGCTGCCTATCAAGTCTGAAAGCTCCATCTAGCATAGTCTGTGTGTGTGTGTGTGTGTGTGTGTGAATGTTTGAATGTAGCTTCAGGTAATTTCTGTCAAAATCAGTGACTACACACTTTTTTTAAGGGGTTCCTTAAGGATTCTCAGGAACTTTAAGGCCAAGGGGGTTGTACCTTACACTCTTAGGGTAAGGTTTAAAGGGACAAAACCCAAAGGACTAGGACTACTAGTTCACCAAACTGTGTTGTAATACGTTCTTAGAAACATGGCTTATCAAGAGTTCCCTGGGTAATTAACAGTTCTACCTTTCTAAAGAGGTTCTACATGGACACTTTTCTGGAAGGGAAACCCTTCTGAAGGTTAATCAGTAATTAGATGGCAGCCCACCGCAAGGCACCATGCATACACATTCGCACGCTCACTCACACATAGGAGCGATTTATCATAGCAAATCTAATGCTTTTATGAGGTGGGAGGAAGCTGGAGAACCCGGCGGAAATCCATACAGACAACCAAGTGCAGAATCGAACTGTAGACCCTGGAGCTGTGAGGTGTTGATGCTGCCACATATGGAAAATGATAACACGTTTAAAATTAGTTCAAGAGGGTGAGGAAAGCAGTCTTAATTATTCACAAGATTTAAGCAGTCATTTCCGGGTACTGTCGATGGGAAGCACAGCTGGGACAGGTCACGATGGGTAGCAACACACTACATCCACGCAACATGTAACTTTTGAATTCATTGCATGTGTAAGATTAGCTGTATTGGGGGAACCTCTTCCTCTTTGTTGGGAAAATCTTACTTTTCTTTACATTAACTATTGTCTGTGGATAAAGTGGAAGGTGGTGAAATTTGGAAGGTGGTTATTAGAGAGAAGGTTGTACATCAACGTAGTTACATTTTGGCTCACAATAATTCAGTTGGGATGTATTACCTGGGTTAACATGGAAGGTAATTTAAACATTGCAATAAAACTCTGTGTTTGTTTGCTGGACTCCAATTCAGTAGCTAGCAGTTTTCATGCATCTAGCATTGAATCTGAGTTTGTGAGATCAGATTACACTATAGTTGGTCTATAGTGTAATCTGATCTGATTTTCACACATACGTAACATTACGAGTTTTTGTTAGAGGAACATGAACAGTTAACTCACCAATTTTTACCCTCAAATATTTACCCTTAGCATGTTACTGAGGGTGCCAGAACGTGTTTCTCAATCATTCAAGTTCACTTTAACCTACTGTGAACTACATTGTTTTTTTTTTTCATTAAAGATATTTTCTCTTCTGGTTGGAGAATTTACTTTATTCGGCTCTGATTTGTCACACTCTCACATACTGTATTTCTCTATTTATTACTAAGACAGATCATTTCATGGAGAAAACCAGTGATTTACAGGAATTAGCTAACAGGGCATATACTGAAAAAGTATTTCCTTGACAGCTACACAATGTGCCGCCTAGTTTGTGCCCTGAAAAACCAGACGAAAAAACATGTTGGACTAAGTTGTCATTGTGTCAGTGATAACGCTGAATTCTATCATTCACCATGTCGCGAAGTTTTCAGGCGATAACAGAATGTTATATTTAATGTTAACTTTCTTTTGGAGATAACAGCTGTACCTTATGTATTATGTTATACCGAGGGTTTAAATAATTGAATAATTGAACAATAAGGATCATCCAGGAAATGTTTGTATCAGTCCACATGTTGGAGCAATGAAATAAAAACAGTTGTTAAGAGTGGACTTAGAGTAGACTTTTGAATTCTGTGTAAAGGTCCTTGAAAAAAGTGCTTTTATGTTAAATCCTTCACTGTACAGCCCAGAATGCAGACAAACATAGACACTCTCTTGACTTTAAACATGTCTGATGGCACTAAGGAGATGAAATATTATCGGAAGACTAGTCAGTGCTTATTAATGGAGGCATGTCTCCATGATTTCCACTGTGCAGAGCTTGTAATGAAGCACTAAGCAGCCCATCAATTCCCCAGGCCTCCCACTGGCATCTGATTTCAGATCTGTACACTGCTAATATCCAGACCACATTTCTCTACTACAGATGTGTCTTACAAAATGTAGAGAATCTAGGATCTGAAACAGCTTTGAAAAAAAAAAAAAACACACATTTAACACTACACTCTGTTTGTGTGTAAAAAAAAGGCCTTGCATCATCATGAAGCTGTTCTGATCCATAAATCTATGTTATTACTAGCCAAAAGTTGATTATTTTCCGATAACAGCATGTCCTGAAGTATTATATTCTCCTTAGACCAGAGCAATTTGCCAAAGATTACAGTTTTGTTTTTTTTTTATTTATAAATTAAACACTAATGTCAAACTTTTTATTGGTTAATTGTTATGTTTAATGTTGTGGACTGTCCACAAAACAAGTCCTCTCTCCTGAAAAGTTTCCACTGGTGTAAAACATACCTGCTGCTACAAAGTGCTGACACTTTTTTAATCTGTTTTTGATTAGGGTTAGATTATATGGACAGTCCACCATACAGGTCCCCGTGTAAGCTATAGGACTGATAATATGTTAGGTCAAGCACATTAATATAAAACTGATTTGCCTTGCACCAGCACTACTGTGAGACCTGCCGTTATAGAAAATGAATCAATGAGAACCAATCAGATGCAAGAATTTAACATAATTAGATCATGAGTTCTAATAAGGTAATGTACTATGATTAGATCCTTTATGACTTATGAAACAGTTGTGACAATTTATCAAAATGCCCTGTGGGCATACTGTGCTTTTATTATGACAGGTAAAGTTGGTTATTTTCCTATAACCTCACATCCCCAAGTTTTATTCCTCTTATACCATGCTTTGCCAACAATTAATTTTGTTATTAATTAAAGAACAACACATCATATTTTTTTTTATCAGTTGCATTAATGTTGTGGATTATAGCAACTACAGAGTAAACAGTCGTCCTCTAATGAGCTTGTCATATTGACGAGAAGAAATCAAGAATGCGCTCTGTCCTGAAGACTTTCATATGGCGGAAAACCTACTGACTGATGCAAAGTTCTGATAGTGGAGACTCCTTCCATTAATATTAAATAAATATCAATGTCTCCAGGGTCCCCAATTCGATCCTGAGCTTGGGTTACTGTCTGTGTGGAGTTTCACATGTTCTTCCCATGTTCATAGGGGTTTCCTCTGGTTTCCTCCCACTGTCCAAAAACATGCAGGTAGGTGGATTGGCTCCATTAAATTGCCCTGAATGTGACTGAGTATGTAAAGGTGTCTTGTGCACGGTGCCCTGTGATGAACTGGTGGCCGGTCTGTAAATTCTCCTGCCTTGCACGAAATGTTCCCGGGACAGGTTCCAGATCCACCACGACCCTGACCAGGATAAATCAGTTACTGAATGCAAACTGAAGAAGTCTCGTTACAAAGAGCTTCACCATATCAATGAATATACAATTTTCTTTGTAAATATAACAGCACATTTATTAACTGTAAAGCATTAGGCTTAGATTATTTGAAGCATCGGCCATACAAGTCCCTGTGAACAACAGAAAAAAATAATGTATTAGAACAAACGCATTAATATAAACCTGGAACTACTGTCAGAGCTACTGTTACAGAAAATTAATAAACTTTCAGAATAGACTAATCAGACTTGAGAAGTCTACAGTGCTGTGGAATAAAGTATTTCACTAGAGCTTTATTAGGTATTACTAGAATATGAAATACTAAAGCAAATCATTATAGACAAAGTTATGATTTATCAATACAGACTTCAAATAAAGTTTCTTCTGTATTATTTCTCTTCTTTAATATTTGAAGTAGAAAACGAATTATGAAATCCAAAAGTAAGGTAACGTGAAACCTTAGGCTCTTTTGCAGTGCCATTGATTTCTATCACTAACTGCAAGTGGGCACCACTTAATTGGAACAGTTATAGATTAGCACAATCATAACAGAGTTTGATTAGCTGTCACAAAGCCATAGTGCTATGGAGCTGTAGTAATTTCTCACAGGGTCATTGTTAATTCTTTACGGGAGGTACACTTTTGGAGGTAATGGAGCATGTACTGTATATATATAAGCAGTCAGTGTGACGTTGTCAGGGTTATTTGTGTAGCCCCTCTGCTTCCGGGCGCTAATTCTGCTCCTCGGAAAAATTACAACGTATCCTCTATTATTTATCACGTCTCTCACTAAACTCTCCCTGTACTGCAATTACTCAGCATGGCTATTCTTCTTACAGTAGATGCCACGCACTAAGACAAAGCCGCATTTAGACCTTTATTTATAGCTGTGTAAGATGTTGGGGTTTTCTGGGTCAGGGAACCGATGTTTTATATATCCGTGTGCATGATTAGTTTGGTCTTTTTTTCATTTGTAGTTCTGTAAAAAGTAGTTAAAAAGTTCTAAAATTTACTAATAGGTTAGAATGAGGGATTGAGGTGTTGTGTATAAATATTTTTTATGGAATTCAATGACTGCCCTTAGACTTAGTTAGTATGAATTAAATTTTCATATTCTCAGACAAGGAAATAAAAGTCCTGTCCATGGTGCAGTACTTGCTGCTGTTCTTTTGGCTGCTCCTGTTAGGGGTCACCACAGCGGATCATTGGTCTGCATGCTTGATTTGGCACAGGTTTTATGCCAGATGCCCTTCCTGACACAACCCCGCCATTTTATCCAGGCTTGGGACCGGCACTGAGAGTACACTCGCAGTGGCTGGGTTGGTTCCCTGCCCGGGAATCGAACCCGGGCCACGGTGGTGAGAGCGCTAGACCACCGCCAGACCACTAGGGACCCTGAAGGTACAGTACTTATTGACAAGTAAATATTTAGCCACAGCATTCCACCATTCATAAGAAACCCCTATTAAGACAGCAGAAATTGCGTGTGATGCCTGAAGATGTTTTCTTCATCTCACTATTCTTGCCAGATGAAAAAAATGGGCTGTCGCCCGAGCTTTTGTCTGCATGTAGACGGCCAAAAACTAATTTCACATTGAGAGATGTTACATACTGTGATACTGCTCTGCCTATGAGAAAGTAAAAAGCTGCTATTTCATCCAACTCTATGAATGTATTTAAAGATGGATGTCATGATACTGATCATCTCCCATAAAGCAAAAATTACATTTTTTGGACTTTCATTTTAAAGTTATAAATCAATTTAATCTCTAATTTTTAGATGGAACAGAAAGCATTTCAGTCACCAGAGGTGTATGCATTGCAGACATGATCATAGAGAGTAGTGAAGCTCAATCAGCTTTACTCTACATGAATATATTGTATAACATCAATCACACTTTCAAGTTCCCTCTGACTGGTTATGAGATAGATTAAAAAAAAACTTGTTCATTTTGGTTTTGTCTTAAGCTGTTCTCAGCAATGCAAGGCAACATTTCAATACTGAAATGATTTAAATGTAGACAACATTGAACTTATATACAATACAATAAATGTACATCAATCAGCCATAACATTAAACCCACCTGCCTAATATTGTGTAGGTCCCCCCAAAATACCACTGACCCATTGAGGCCTGGACTCCACAAGACCTCTGAAGGTGTGCTGTGGTATCTGGCACCAAGACGTTAGCAGCAGATCCTTTAAGTCGTGTAAGTTGCAAGATGGAGCCTCCATGGATCAGACTTGTTTGTCCAGCACATCCTCCAGATCTCAATCCGATCGAGCATCTGTGGGATATGCTAGACAAACAAGTCCGATCCATGGAGGCCCCACTTCACAACTTACAGGACTTAAAGGATCTGCCAAGTCAACACCTTGAACTCTTTGTCATGTTCCTCAAACCAGTCCTGAACAGTTTTTGCAGTGTGGCAGGGCGCATTATCCTGCTTAAAGAGGCCACTGCCATTACGGAATATCGTTGCCATGAAGCGGTGTACTTGGTCTGCAACAATAGGTGGTACGTATCAAAGTAACATCCATCAAAGTAACAGCCACATGAATGCCAGGACCCAAGGTTTTCCAGCAGAACATTATCCAGAAGATCACACTACCTTCGCCGGCTTGCCTTCTTCCCATAGATAAGCAATGCACATGCACCCTGCCATCCACATGATGTAAAAGAAAATGTGATTCATCAGAGCAGGCCACCTTCTTGAATTTCTCTATGGTTCTGATGCTCACATGCCCATTGTAGGTACTTTCGGCGGTGGACGGGGGTCAGCCTGGGCACTCTGACCAATCTGCAGCTACGCAGCCCCATATGCAGCAAGCTGGGCTGCACTGTGTGTTCTGACACCTTTCTATCATAGCCAGCATTAACTTTTTCAGCAATTTCTTATGGAGATAGAATAGTCTCAAAATGAATACCTTTATAAAATCCGATTCACAAATGTGTAAGCTAATTCACATTCACAAAAAACTTGAATATATTCGCAAACAACAATCCACACATTCATATTCACAAAATACGATTAACAAATGCATAAATAAGTTTGTAAATTTCGGAATGTTTTTACATTTATGAATTAATTGTTGAATGTGCATTTGCAGATCGTCTGTGTGTGTGTGTATCACTTTGGAGACTTATATTGAGACTTTCCTGCCAAGTTCCAATTCACAAATTAGTGTTTTTTTTAAAGGACGTTCTCTTTAGCCAACCAGATGTGAGTTTTCAATCCAGCCAATCATAATACACTATGCTCAATGCTTTGTCTCAAGAAACATAGCCTTGCGTGTCTGCGCAGAGAGGACGGCATTTCATCATTCCAAGATGGCAGCTGATAACCAGACTTAAATAAATCTTTCAGGTTATCATTTAATGAAAGCTTCCTTGCCATATTTCATGTTATGCATATATTTCAGTCTGAACCGGCAACAGGGTCATGGGCAGCCAAGGCTCACTGAGGCTAGCCTGTGTAGTCTGATCCCACTGAAGAGCTACTGCAGCACAATCCACAGACTGTAGACCGTATCCACAGACCGGTCAGAGTGCCCGTGCTGACCCCTGTCCAAACTTGATACAAACTCGATACATAATAAATATATTATGTACATAATAAACATGAAAACTTGAAAAACACAAAACTTAAAAGTCCTGACCTACATTGTTTTCCTAAATGTGCTGTATTTTACATGGCTGGATTAGTTGGGCTGGATTTCCAGACACAGATCTTTCTTTCCAAAGCCATTTTTACATTACCCTTGTGCACTTCCCATTTCCATTTCCCCACAGGGGAACCCCTGCTGCTGTGTTTCCATTACTTTATCAGCTCAACTCACATTCTTACAACTCGAGTTGAATCCTTAAAAGGTCGAGAGATTGAGAAAACATCACTCTAGAGTTCTGGAGTAGAAGAAATTTTATTTTAGCAAAACTGTAACTAATGATTTGTTAATGATAATTATTAAAAGCTTGTTAAATAATGTGATGACTCAAAAATGATATAGTTGTGTAGTTGCCGAAAAACCAGCAATTTTGTCATTTGTGAGATTTTTTTTTTTTTGTCTGTTTAACATCGCAGTGAACACTTGTTTATCTCTTGTGGTCACATGACTACAACATGGCCATTATGGCAAGGAGACAAACAGGAAGTAAACAGAAGAGCCTCATTTAATGCCTACAAAGCAATATGATTCTTTTCTCATCTTGTATTCAGTGTATGTTATGCAAGGAATATGGAATATTATGGAAGGAAACAATACCTAGAAAATCTTTTTATAGTAGCAAAATATTCGGGCTCTTGGTTTAGCCTAGTGAATCAATTTCAGGCTTGTTGTTATGTACTACAGCATATAAAGAGTTTATTTACTTTTTTTAATAGAGCAGAAGCAGCAATAATAGTATGTTTTTGTTTTGCTGTGGTACAGAGGTGGAAGCTCTTCCTGTCCCAGTGGACATGGTGACTTAAATGCATCGGTCGAGCCCATGTGCTTCTCCTGAATGCTGTTATTGCTCCTTCGCTGTAAGCAAGGCTTCTTCATCTTTGTGCATCTTGTCTCGGGTAGCAGCAAGGCATAGTGTTGGTATGGCAACCAAACAACACAAAATCCTCCTGGGGGCACTTCCTACCTATAGATGATTATGACAACAAGATGAGGCTCCCGTGCATGGAATGCTGAATGCATGCATGTGTGCTGCCTTTAGACATGAACAATCCTGTTTATTAGCCTGCTATATTATTGAGTAATATTATTATACCATACACTCAAATACACAGAGCACATGGAAAATGTGAGAATACACATGAATGAAGCTGATTTTGTTGGTTATATTAAATATAAATTCACATTTGAGTTAAACATGATACACACACACTCACGACCCTGACCTGACTCCGTACATGACCGTGCTTTAGGATGCTTCATTAACCAGAGATCCACTCTCATTCAATCTTTTAAATCTCTTGATAAACACACACATACATATACACACATATAAGTACACACACACACACACACGACCCTCAGAACTGTGTGCCTTTATTGTTGTGGAAGTCTCAATACCTTCCAACCCCACTGTTCTCTTTAGATCCACACAGGACCACACAAACACCCACTCAGTGTGTAAAAGCATTAAGACACAAACACACTGTATGCTCTGCAGTCATAGCAACCGCACTGATGCAGATGAATTGTTGACACCCTTCCATCACTTTCCAAGATGTCCGCCTGCCAATGGCTATGAGACTGGAACAGTTCTCCTCGTTGGACCGTGAGCGAACGAATGTCTCACCACCTTATCGTGCACCACAGGCACCTCCAAGAGATGCTTACTGCTCTGGCAAGCTCCATTGTAGAAGGCTGCTTAGTATTCAGTGAGAGCGCCAGCTGTCTGGGTGGCTGGACAAGAACATGAAGGCCGAGAAGCCAGCACTGCACGGTGTATGGAACGAAGTATCAAACTGAATAATACTTTGTATAGTTTTGCACTTAAAAACCACCTACTGCACTGACGATGAGTGTGAAATAGGTCTCTTTCAAACTCTACAACACAAGGCACAAAGCCCAGAGGTTTGGTCCTGAACATAACCATAACCAAGACCATAATTTCCCATTCTTTTTAAAAGCATCCATGGCTGCATTCCAATATTGTTTTTAACACTGGTCTCCCAGTGAATCCAAGTCATTTACATTTATGCATTAATCATTACACATGTTTTCCCCAAAGTGAGGATGAATACAATCCAAGCCACTTTTGTCTCATAGATGTTCCCAGACTTGTAAAATGAAACAAGTGATGTTTGTTTGATGAGCCTCTGGAGGCCCATCAAGTCCACATATAAGTGTTAGGATCAGAACGTGCCCAAAGATATTGCTATTTTATGCAGTTTCCTTTTCAGAAAGAAAACTTGAAACTGCTTTAAAATGTAATTAGAAGTGAAAAATGTAAACATTTCAAAAATCTAAAATGTGCTTTATTTATTTGGTTGTTTGTGTCTTCATCTGTACTCATAAACAAAGGGGACTTTTGGATCCTGGAATCTGTTCTGAAAGGGAAACCCAATGGTATAGAGTTCTACAAAGAATTTTTAATCATTCCCTCAGAAAGACATACAAAGTTCCTAAATGGAAACTTTCTTTCCATGTATACTGTCACATTTAGATTTTTCTTCACAGGAACTAAAAGGCCCAAACCTGTTCCAGCATGACGATGCCCCTGTATGCAAAGCGAGGACCATGAAGTCATGGTTTGTCAAGGTTGGATTGGAAGAACTCGAGTGTCCTGTACAGAGCCCTGACCTCAACCCCACTGAACACCTTTGGGATGAACTGGAACGCCGACTGAACCCCAGGCCTCCTCACCTGACATCAGTCCCTAACCTCACTAATACT